CCTTGCTATGAACTGTTTATAAAGTGATTTAATTAGTTATTAATTTCAAGTTAGTTGCACTTACAATTTGAGAATTGGAAGTCCTATACTTTCCTTTTCTAAGAAATAAATACTCCTAAATCGAGTTCTAGCCAGTTTCCTACATCGACGTTTCTTTCTATTCTTATAGGGCTGTAGAAATTTGGTTCGACGATCATGAAGATTACAATTTTGAAAGAAATGTATGCATAGGAACTTGCCCTGGATACATTAATGTAAGTAACTTTTCGTAACCTATTCCGCAAGCTACATTTTGCCATTTCGCGATGAGGAGCGGAGGGAGATTCGTGCGCTCTTCCCATGCCCGACCGGAAGTGTTGCCATGCCATGGGAGCGACTCGTTCGGCCCAGCTACAGGAATCACCGGGAAACTGGACTTTGGGTACCCGGCCAGCTTGATGAGGCACTGCATGGTATCTCTGGAGGCGACAGCTGCTTCATTTCAGTTTGTGGAATAGGCGGATTCAGTTTAGCTTTGCAACCAGCATACCAGATTGATACATTAGCAATGGGAAGAATCAGCAGACGAAAAATATATACCCATTTGATTTTTAACTGATCACTATTTTACAAAAATTTAGTCTGCTTAAATAAAAATGGATATTTTTTTATTTATTGTTTCAGGTTGTTTCGGCCAAATTAATACGACTTGGATGTGGAGCTTCCTTTTGTCCAAAACTTTATGGAAACTATGATGGAGTTTTTGTCGTATGCGACTATGCACCAGGGTATGTTAAATCAGAATTTGTTTTTTATTTTGCGGATTTTAAGAATGGCAAACTTTATTGGCTCCACTGCTTTCTGCCATAGACAAGCTGGAGCTCTCTTTCGTTCATAGTCTTCTAAACCGGCTTTCTAGAAGGACGCGTTGTTGTGACCTTTCCGAATTTCCCCTTATCTAGTCAGGCTTCGTCTTTTATGTTTACCTAGTTTGAGGAAAGATTCTTCAATCACATGTTTATTCCTTTCTTCCTTAAGCCATTACTCGTTTGTATTTTTACTTTCTTGCCCAACTGGCCAATATGACATTTGGCGAAAGG